CTCACCTGGGGATTCCACACTGATCAATGCAAGAACAGACTGCATAATAAACATAAACATAATGCTATAGTATGTAAGTACCCAAGTGACTTTCGAGTTTCACTGCTGCAGCAGTCGTATTATTAGTGCAGTAAAAATATTAACAATTTCATGTTGGCAAAAAAGTATTGGATGTAGATGTTGTATTGTAGGTACATCTATAACCTACCAAGCCAGCACATAAACGAGTTAAAAGTCAAAGTTAAGTTAATTTTAATTTATTAATTTAAAACGTAATTTTCATTAACTTGCCCAGGTTTGCAACCGACTATATAGCTGCGGTATCGACGGAATTGAGTATGTATTAATATGTATAAATTATAATGTGGAGCAATTAGTTCACTTTCATTGTTACAAAAGTTTAATAAAAATATTTAATTGAATTATATGTCGGGTTGCATACAAAATTAATTAATTTAATAGACCAATCGTAAGCCACTAGATCGTGTTTAAGGGAGAATTAACTCGCAATAATTGATTCATTAAACGTTTAGCGATTGCTCATGCAACCCGGTACTAGTATTGTAAAGCGTTTAATAAATTCATTCGATTTCCACTGTATATTCTCATAGTTTTTGAGAAAAATAACTATGTTTATTGTATTTTTTAGGGCAATATTGTTGCAATGAACCTAAATCAGATAGATACTTATTTCTATAGAATTTGAACTTGGATTTCACAATATCACTTTAACGTGTAATTAATTTTAAAAAATGTCAATGTTTAATAAAAGTAAACTAGTCCGTCTAAGTAATACCATATTTTCACACAATCGCATGCTTTTATTTTAACTCGAAATCATAGTATTATCAAATTGACTTAACCAACTTGCATTACACTTGGATAGATACAATTGTGTGTAAAATGGAAAACATTTTTTTGGCAGCCAAAATAGTACATTTTTCAGAACACACTATATCGTGGTGTAAAAACGGAACAACACATAGTAGTGACTTTAAAAAAATAAATATTTAAACAATTTTACCTATATTTTAAAATACAGCAGACTAATTTAAAACATACTAAGTAAAAAAAAGAGTATTCATTTTTTTTTTGAGTCTGTGAGTTTCTTTTAAATTTAAAAGAGAGCGATAAAATAAAAAAATGTTTGGAAACACGGTGGCACTATGTCGTGTATTCGTATTATGCTTTATTGAATTATTTATTGAATATAAAAATGTGGATTTCAAAATTAAATTAGTCCTTCAAATCAAACCTAAAACACAAAGTTAATAACTACACGGAGGCAGAGGGTGACTTCATTATTTTTGAAGAAACGAAAAATATCAATTTATTTTTTTACAAGCAAAATCACTTGTATTTATTTATAAGAATATTATAGAAATCGGTCATGAGAAAAAAAAATATCAAGCCTCACATTAAATTAATAATGCGTAATATGGCTCGACGACTACTAAGCTAGCAAACTATTGGTAACTTTTCGAGAGCACAAGTCAGCTTCGAGTGTGCTTATGGACAAAAGTTGCTACCTTCGCAAAAATCTCTCCCCCACCGCCCGGCCGTTACACTTTTTATCGTTCGTTCACGCCAGAATCTTTTATTTTATTATTATTATTTTATTTTTTAATTGCATCTCATACTAAAGTGATGACGTAAAAGAGTCTTAAATGTCTGTGTGTCAAAGAGATTACGTGCATTGATACTTGAAAATACACCCTCACACACATATGTGCATACATATATAGTGGCGATATTTCATTAATGTAAAATCTAACTTAATGTAGTCTGCTTGCAATTTAAGCTCTGCGGTTGTTCAAATTATCATTATATATGATAGGCACAGATACAAAAAAATATCGGTTCTATAAATATCACATTAAAATACTAACGCAGTACGTGAAATGCCGATATAGGTACATATATACAACGAAAAAATCAAATTAATTAACTAGTCGACTTGGTTAATTGGTAGCTATAATATTATAATTATTATATTCCTGTACTTGTTATGTAGACGAAGATTTTATAATTAATTAATAATTGTATTGATTTTAGTTAGAAGGTAAAATATTCCTGTAAGTAATATAATAATATACGTATTGATTTTTACGTTGATTTTTTTACATTTCGTCGGCCCAATTCGCAAATCACTTAGCTCCAAAAATGCCATTTTGGGATTATTTGTGATTAAAACTAAGAAAAAAACCTAATCGTATGATAAGGTCGTTACTGAAATTATATAATTTTATCCTCTATGAAATTGATTGTTAAAAATCGTCATATCTCCGATGTATGATATTTAAGACCTAGAAAAAGTCGAATCTCCATATTATTATTGTAATAAATGATGGAGATACGACCTTTGCAATTTAGGGCGACGGTTTGTTACTAGGTATACCTAAATCATTCAAGCTACAACGTATCATTTTTATACATTACTGAGAATCGAGCAATCAAATAAAATAACCGCAGCAAATTTCAAAACAAAATAAAACGAAACAGATATTATTCGTGTTTGCTTTACGTGTACCTCGGTGTCAGACGTGTTGATTATTGGTACTATAGTGTTTAGTGTAGATATTGGATATAAATAGGTAACAATCAGAAACAAAAAGGAATTCTGCTTTAAATATTTTTAATTTACAAGAGTAGTATTTTTGCTCTACAAATCTCATATTATTATGTCCACGAATAAAAATTAAAAATATTTAAGGCAAACCCCAAATGGCAACAGTATTAACACGATTATTGAATGAGAACATTTTGGTACAATTAATATTGAATAGTAACCGAACAACCATGCAAATATTATCATATCAAATCATAGCAAATAAATGTGGTCATTTTTCTAACCTGAGATACCGATAATTCTGTAATTCAAAAATATTGATTCACTCAGTTGGTATTTGCATAAACGATTTCACATAAAGCATTTAATTATACTCCTGTAAGCATATTTTTTGTAAAAAAAATAAACTCTTCAGTAAGTAAAACCATACATGATATTTTCGCTCATTCATAATCTAAAATAAATTATAATTTGATACAAATGGTCTAAAATATAATCATAACATAAATCAGTCACGTATTAATTCATAAAACATGTGTTGTACATGATTTACGTGGAGATATACTCAGTAAACGTGCTTTATCTATCGCATCTCAGATGCGCTGGGTATATTCAAAATAAGGGGGAATACTTACAGCCCTTAAAATTATTTTGAACCGCTTCCATTATTATGCACTTAACTAAAGAAAAATGTACAAAAATAATATGTGACGATGGTTTGAAATCAATCATAGCGTAACATATTTTTGAGAGCTTATATAGATATAATATCAACCAATGAAAAATAAATATGGAAATATTTTATCTCACATATCGATGAAAAATAAATTACCGGGTGCAACGTCTTTATAAAATACAAAATGTCAATTAAATTTTTTTTTGTTTTTTTTTTTTTATTGTTACCTACTTAGTCTCGACTCTCGGAGTCGTAACACGGTTATTTTCGAAACGGATATTTCATCTATGTATAGTACGTCGATGACGCGGAGTCACTGACACCTTCTAAAATATGTAAATTGAAACAACCGCAGTACGCCAACTACGTTATATTTTATCGGTCAAGATGCATTTTATTGTCATTATTTAAATGTCTATAGTTTAAACTATATCAACTATCAAGTAACTATAAAGGTACCTACTCAACAGCTTTATATACCTACGTGCTAAAGCGCAATAATTGATATTTGATATTTGATTTTGACATGAAATAAATATTGGTGGACCAAATAAAAATTCGGGTTCTCGACTTAAATTTTTTTTTAAGTCGAGTAGGTATTTTTTTTTTTGTATCAAAAAAATTAAAGTAAACCGCTACAAAAGTATTTTGATATATATTCATAGATTTAAACAATTAAAACAGCAAATACATTTTAATAATCATCTGAGCTATATTATTATTATATTATGATTATGGACGATAATCAGTTTCAAGCACAAATACGGCCATGGAAATAGTTAACTTATTTAACAATTAATTAATATTTACGTAGATATGTACACGTCATTCATATGAAAAAAAATATTCTTATTTATTAAAATATTGAGATACGACTTTTAAATATTAAACTCCAGCAGATATATTTATTAAAAATATAGTGTTTCTAATAACTGAATAGATTTTATTATGTATATATAAATATTGTTATGTACGATATTTGACTCACTAATATGTTATACGAAGTAATACCGTTTACGTCAGTAGGTAGTTGTTGGAAGACAAGAAATATTATTTGCGAATAATTTATTACTACGTACCCAAGGGCCGATCAATTACTTTTTCTAAAAAATTATATCTTACGAAACAATATTATATATCATGACTTAAAATACGTTTAAGAAATGAAATATAATTTCAGTGCATGCGTGATTGTTAAATTAAAATTTGATTTTTTCTATTAATTAATCGATCGGGACCCTCGGGCAAGCGGCGGCGTGTGTATGAGGGAGCGTGTGATGGCACATATTGAAATTTCGGGTTCAATTAAAATATTTCTAGCATAAATGCATAATGTATGCATAGCTCAGTAGCACCCAGACAAGTATCCTGGAAGTACAGCAACTGCATGTCTTCTGGAAGGTGGTGGGTGAAAATTACTGGTGTCGCAGGGAAATGTTTGTATAAACTAAAATAATTCAATTCTGTGGACTATAATACAGTGATTTACTGGCTCGTTTAAATATCGAATCACCAAGACACCAAAGCCATTCTGAAATATTTTGTGAGCGTAATAAGAATAACTGTCGAAGTAATATTTTTAACACATAAAAAACAATGCTACTGGATGGGTATATATTTCTGTTGATTGCATCACGTGCTCTCAAAATTTGTCCGATGTGTGTGTGTGTGTGTCGTAACCATTAACCCCAAATAATATTCCTATATATTTATTGTATGTGACTGCCCACAGGTTAGATTAGGTTAGGTACTTACATGTATTTGTCTAGGTGCGAAGAACGGTCGAGATGTCTGTATTATCGGCGCGTCAAGTCCACTGCAGCTCGACGAGTGAAAAATACATGTAATCGGTCCGGGAAAAACGCAGGGAAATATTATAATATTAACATGATAATATTATATCGTGGCGTACGTGGCTGTTACTCGCATCCTAGCCAGCAAGTGTTACGCGAGGGCGTTAGAGATTGATTGACCGGCTCTCCTCAGTGGTGTGTGCTTGCGTTCCTTCGCCCTCCGATATTATGCTGCATCATACGTCATTGTGACCCATATATATATATACTGTTCAATCGTCGGCGACGGCAGTCGAAGAATAAATAACGACATTAAGAAATGGCAATCAAACGATGATTTCCACATCGGTTCTGAAATGGAATAAGTACCTATTATTATAATGTATAATGTATATGTGTAATATGGCATATTGTATATTATTTCATTATATTATATTACCATATTATTATTATTATTATTATTATTGTTCTATTAATTAATTTTAGCGGGCAAGTACTTCTGCAATTGAATTGTTTTACTCGCACATTATACATATTTTATTATATTATTATTACGTCTGTGACGACTTTTAATGGTTGGAATAAAATATAGTACATACATATTATACGTATATTATTTTTGCGTTAATTAAAGTTTATTGTTTTATATTTCATCTAAACTATCATAGCGACATACCGTGTCACTACTGCATCACCGACGGGCGACAATTGCTCGCAATTTCTAAAAGCAGTTTTTTTCTTTTAATGTAAACTATGCATAAATAATATATATCTAATTAATAATTTTCTCCTATGCATAATATTATACACCTATTGTAGTAATGTAATGTACCTACCAATAAGTAATAATATCTAAACTATAATAAGGTTTTTAATTAATTTTTTATTTGTCATCTTTTAAAAAACAATTGTAACTTAAGCACTGTATAAATATTTAATGCCACCCTCGTTGCATCATGTCTGATCCTTAAGTTGAGTTTTGGGTAGAACCCCAACAGTCTAATTTAATTTAAGTATTAAAAAGTAAAAACTGTTTTAAATAATATTGGTGTAGCAGAACACGGACGATTTTGAATTTTTTTTACCATACAGTAGGATTGCGATATTCCGGGACAATAAAAAAATTAAATGATGTCAAAATTTGAAAAAAAAAATGTAAAAAATCACCTCGATTTGTCTACCTATAAGTATAAGACCGACATTATTTTTGTCAAGGGTGAGTTAATTGAATCATTGGTTTTCTAAAATATGCATTCTAATGAAATAAATAAGCTTATAACATATTACAGATAAAAATATATAGGTACTATTATTATTATACATACTCAGTATAACCAAGCCCGTGTTCTTTTCAGGAGCCGAGATATTATAATAACTATTGTATTATCCATTAAGGTAGTCATAATTAGTTATATTAAGTATTATTATCTCATAACAATAATATACCTAAACGGGGTATTTGGATGACTCTGAAAGAGTTTTCTGGACAAGGGACAATTAGTTCAAAAATGGTACATTTTCGTAAAATACGAAAGATGCCAAACCATGGATTAACATGACTTCCACATTTAAAAAATTCATTGTTAAAAACACAAACGAAATATAGTTATAGTTATACCGGCTTTACCTGCCTACATTTAACAATGAACACAACAATATTTGATCGATTAATACTTATTGTTTATTTATTGTCGAATTATAGGATAATATCAAAAGTTGAAATTCTAAATTTTTTCTGATAACATGTGTGGTATACTAAAAACTGAAGTTTTTGAAATTTGGCCGTACCTATGTCATAGAATGTGCCACTATTTTCAAAGACTCCATCTCAGATCTAGAGCCAGCCGTAACAGTGTTGCAATATGAACATATAATTTCATTTGGAAAATAGCTTAATTCTCTTAAATTTGTACCACCAATGGTAGAATAATCGAGGTGAGGTTGCAAAAAAATACACACAGTTACTTAGTTAATAAGAATATTATAATTCAAAGGTAGTTTACATTACGGATATGGAGTATAATATATGACAGACATTTTGTAAATTCCGTAAATTTAGGTACCAGCCACCAGGTACATTTAGTACACATTAATTATATATGTATTTATTTATTTATTAATAGCTAACCGGCAGTTCCATTTGAATACAGAAGATGTAAGTAATCAATAAGAATTATTACTTATTAGATATAATAATATAAATAATAATAATGCTAAATAAAATACAAAATTACAAACTAGAAAGTTGTTAAAACAAAAAGAAAAGTAATTAAACGAGTAGAATAATAGATAAAGCGAGGTATGTTCGTGATAGCTTTAAAAAATATCAAACTAGGTATTCAATTGTAAATACTAGACTTAAGTATAGGTACCTACGTCTTTACTATTTTACACACTTGACTGCTGTGTACCTGTGTTTCTATGACTGTCGACAACAGTACCACACGTAGAATTTGACGCTTTTTCGAGAATTAGGTACCGGCGAAATGGGGGCAATTCGTTAAAATAAAGTAAACAGATATCTCAAAATTACCTGATCACGAACATTTAAGTTTCAACTACTTATTAATTATAACTTCGCATCATTATAATATAAAGTATAAACGCTGAAATGTAGTAGTAAAAAAATGTGCCTACTGAATATGTTTAAATATCATGCATTTATGCATACTTTGAGTTACATGAGATTCATTGACAAAAAATATGCATTTAATAATTTTTTTTTTCATTCTTTGATTTCAAATGTTTTCAAATTGAATATTAGGGTACGATAATTATTTTAAATTTAGGTACATTGTAGTCATTGATACAATGATTATTTGAAATATTATGGACTATGTATGATTTTCTTGTATATCCATCACTTCTAAGACCAATTTGAAGTATCGATAGATATAGTTACGAATTTACGATATGTTCACAGGATTAAAATGTAAAACCTTTAGTACATTAAATTATTATTATGAGCTATATTTATCACCAAATATATGTTAAAATCATAAACAATGAATATGCAGAAAATGTAATCTTAAATTAAAAAAATTTCTTAAAATTAAAGTCTGTAATGTGAATGTCAGTCTAGGATATTTTATATTGTTATTACTTATTATTATTATTATTATTATACGGTAGCCGATAAAATGAATTAATATTATTCTTATATTATCAGTGATGCTGGAAAAATATTAAATATACTTGTGTAAAATTGATCTGTTTTGGAATCAAATTACAACAAATTAACAACAATCGTTATTCTTTGTGTTAATATGTAATTTTGTCCAAATTTGAACTTTAAATGTCTGTAATAAATAACTGTATTTGTATATTTTTAAAGTTTTTAGTTATGGAAAAAACTGCTTAAGTGAAACCTTGTTCTAAATTTTCAATTCTTAGCTATAAAAATAGAAAATTGTATACATTTTTAACTACAAAATCATTTTTCAATTTTCAATTTGATAAATGTTGTCAACATTTGAACTTTAAAAGCCAATTAAAAAAAAATCGTGTCTATGTATTTTTAATATGTAAACTATGAGGAATCTTAAATTTTGACCTCCCGAATGCACCAACTAGAGTGACTTTCCTACCAGAAAAGATGCTGTTAAATAAAATCGAACCGTGTTGACAGACATAAAAATAAAAAAATAAAAAAACACACATCATTGTAAAATCAATACATTCATCGCTCCACTCTGAATCTAAAATGGATTATAAAATTGACTTTAAATATTTATTAAAACAAATTCTCGTGTATAAAAGTATATTACAATTTTTAAAAGTGTAATTTTTTTTTTAAATGGTATTTAAAATTTTTAAATAAGTACCTATGATAGTAGTAAAAGTATAATTTTAAAAAAAAATTGTACAGATAGCTAGATTTCATCAACTTGTTTACCGAAGACGTAGCCTAACTCGTTATTTTGGTTTAAACATTTCAACTATATATACTGACCGATAATATATAATAAGAACTACGAGTACCAGATTTGTAATATGTTTCTGTTATATTTATATAAAATCGTATTCTGTAAAAATCTCAAAATAAAATTGATGTATAAAAAAAAATAGAAAATGATTCACTAAAAAATGCAAAATAAAATGTCTTAATCTCATCCAAAACTACATAAAATAAATTTGTTATAACACAAGCGTCACACAGTAAGCTTTGGAAAACAATGCATATAGTGCATCGAAATCCCAGCCGTAATTACAACTACGACAGAGGAATATTAATAGTGCACGTCTCTAAAAATCCCAAGGCAAGTATAACTTCACTTGAGACCCCAAAACTATGCACTACAAATATGCACTTCTAGTTAATGTTAATAACCATTTGTTTTTAATACTTAATTTAATTAATCAATTAATAGATATAAGTATTAAAAATATTTAAACAGTTATATGCTTAACATTTTTTTTTTTAATTTATGAAAAATGCAACAAAAAATTTTAAATAAAAGGCAAACAGTGCATTCAAAATAAAATTATATTCTTAGCTATATAATACCTTTGTGATAGTATTTGTTTCTTACACAGCTATGATTTACTATGCAAAAGTCCTCTGCCGCAGTTCTAACGTAATAATATTACACCCGACTCATAAGTACCCATTACTTATAGTAAAATGTGTACAGGGGTATAGGTACTCGAAAAATAATATACTCTATTCAATATTGACTATTGTGTACATAATATTACGTATAAATTATATACCTACCTATAATTGCAAATTAGTACCATGGATATTTTAAAATCACTCCGTCCGCCTCGCTGTTGCTATGCGTTGTAACTCGCTGCAAAAGTACGTAATGTTTGCCTGGGGCTATATGGACGAATCGCGTATTATATTATAAAATGTCGACGACGGTCTCAAGTGTCCGCGAAGATCGGTACGCCATCTAGCGCTGTGCTAATTTAATTTTTGAGTGTATATAGGTGTAAGGCAATTGATAAACGATCGATACGTTTTTTGAATGAACAAGCGAACGCATCACAACATTATTATATTATTATATTAAATTTTGCTTAGTCGCACATAAAAACGCCTCCATTCACGTTTCTCGTGCGCTCTCGTGTGATCAGCGCTCCTCATTATCATAAGGTCGGTATAATTATTATTGTCAACAGAGACGCAGTACTTACGTGCATTCGTTTTTTTTTCCTCGGCGAGATGATTTTTTACTTAAGATTCACGACAGATTTTTAACGTACATTTTTATTAATTTTTTTTTTTTTCTAACCTATGGATACAATTAATGTAGACGGCATCGCCTACCTGTGTACCGTTCTAACTTCTAATATGTAAATAATAAAAAAAAATGACGAACGTGGAAATATATTGTACTGAAACATTGCATTGTCGTGTGATTATTAGATTATTAGATGGGGACAATAGTTTTGACTAGCCCATATGGCTAACTTATAAAAATCTGATCGTTTCGCTTGCAAGTATGCTTTTACTTGCATTTTTATCAAACTGCCATTGCCGTCTCATACATTTTAAGATTTAGATATTTTTCAGTCTGATCTTTTCGATATAATCAATTTATAATTAACTTATAAAGTAGTTTAAACATTCAACGTATAGAGTAGCAGATAACTTTTTAAAAAATAATGTACATTGTACCTACAAACTAAAAATCTTAATTGAATAACAAAAATATTTTCAAGCTATTAGTGCATACTATCTTCTTTTAATTATTCCAAATGTATTCACTGAATTATCTAAATCTATTAACCCTAACCTAAAATATCACTTTTGACTATAATAACTAACTAATCATTTACCCTTGATTTCTCAGGCGTATATGTGTTCTAAACTACTTTAAGAAAAGAAAAAATGTACACAATAATGTTTTCAAATCGTAATATCTATGTTATTAAATTGAATAAATTCCAAGCGGAGTGATGAATGTATTAAATTAACAATGATTTTTTTATTTTTTGTGTGTGTACACTGACGCTGTACACGATAAGTAGTCGAAATAATGTTTCGATTCTCAACTTAAGTTTATTTTCCGATGGAAAAGTGAATCTAGTTGGTGTATTCGGGAAGCGCATATTCCCAGTAATTTTCAAAAGCACCGGAAAAAACAAAAAAAAAAAATAAGGAAAATGGGAACTTTTACACTAAATCGGTTTTCGACAAAATAAGTGAAACTTTAAAAAAAATTACAGTAGATACATGAATCTTTCATTGAATTTTAACGTTTTCTATACACCGTGACATTTTCAAAATAATTTGACGCAATTATATGTATATGCAATTTTCGTTTATTTTTTTTATGAAGGTTAGGTTAGGTTATTACTAACAACATGAAAATATAATAAAACAATCCTTATAAGTTGTTAGTACCGGAAATAAAAAAAAAAGTTGAACGTAAATCTACAAACAATTTTTATGAGCTTCTGAATTTCAAATTTTAACAAAATGAGTAAAAATCACTGAAATTCACAAACTATTTTAAGTTATAAATTCTTAAAAAATGTTCTTTATAAATAGAATTGAAAATTCAATACAATATTGCTCATAAGTCTGTCTACCGTCATCGAAAAAAAAATATATAGTGAAATTAAATTTTCATAAATGATTTGAAGTCCAAATTTTTTTAGCATTGGATTTTATACGATTTCCCTATTTTGTTGTAACTAAACTAAATAAACCTCTAACCGTAGGTCCTTAGATACTTGAAATGTACACAAAAATGGTTTGTGTTGTCATTTTTTATACTTGATAAAATTTTCAAAATATTTTGACTTGTTTAGAGCTGTTTACTGACTGTTTCAATTTGTTTAGTTTTTTTTCTGTAAATGTCAATAAAATTTCATATGTTAGCTCAAAAAACTTAAGAATTGAATACAATACTCCTAACATATTTATACAGTAACAGTTTAAAAAATATTAAAATACATTGGCAAGATTTTTTTTGTAAGCATTTAAAATTCAAATGTAGACATAATTTATTAGATCATTGAATTTATTAACAGATTGAAAATTTACAAATTATTTTGTAGTTAAAAGTTTATAAAATGTTCAGTTTTTATATCTAAGGATCGGAAGTTTAAAACGATTTAACCAAAAGGTCTAAACATTATATAAATACAGTTTTTTTACATAGTTATTTTGTTGTAATTTAAAAATATTGTTTTGGAAACTTTTACTATTATTATATTTTATACTCACAATGACCTTTTCAAATGCAATTTTTTTAGCAAAAGTTAGTATACCAATTAATGCTTCATAATAAAATAATTAAATTTATTCACAATGATATCATAAAATATATCTACTTATTAATATTATTTAAGGCTGGCAGTCAGACTTCGCTCAGAACTGTGGCGTATTTAGGATTTTTTCATGGGTAAACATAAATTAAAAAAAAATTTAAGCGTAAGTGAATTTCCACGGCTTGTCGATATGGTACTAAGCCGCCACGAGCCGGGTAAGCTGCAGTCCTTAAGAGGACGTTATACCGGCATGTGTTGTCCCGTCTTACAAGAGCGTAACATACCAAATTTTACGTTCGGCAGATCACACTTAGCTCTGTTAGCTTAAAAATTAGAGTGAATTGACCTCTTATTAAAATTAAAGGTAAGATTATTATTACGGAGGGCTTCTCGTGGGCTTTATATTAAATTTTAATTTTAAAGAGAGTTATGAGTATTTTAAAATTGTAAATTGTTTGAACAACTTACAATACTCATAAGCATAACTCTCTTTTTAAAATTTAAAATATAATAAAAAGCCCACGGGAAGCCCGCCGTAATAATCTTACCTTTAATTTTAATAAGAGGTCAATTTTCTCTAATTTTTAAGTTAACTGAGCTAAACCTAACCTAACGTAAAATTTGATATGTTACACTCTTGTAAGACGGAGACAACACATGCGGGCACAACGTCCACTTAAAAAAAAGAGTATTTGACATCTATTTATGACGTGTTGGTATGGTCATGTAATAAAAATATATTGTCGGTCTATTGCGTAAGACTACTCCGACAAAACGGACTACTAGTACCAGGGGCGCACGTACTAGTCACTACTTTCTCGAGTTTCGTCAGCGGCGGCGGCGGCGGCGGTGTCGCGGTCGGTTGCCGCCAGTGGAAGCGTAGCGTCGGCGGCCGTCGTGTACAGTGCTCGCCGGCCGACACGTCAAGGCATACACTCCTGTTACATTTTCCTTAGAGTTTCGCCGAATATTTTCACAACAACCATCCACAGTTTAAACCTAACCTACAAAAACCCTCCTAAAATGCCCATAGAAGATGATAATAATAATAATAATCTTCGTACAAGAAAATAATATTGCCGGCTGACGGCTATTATAATTAATAATGGTCGCGACTCATACGACGTTTCCACGATATTTCTTTGCACGCAAGTCAGACCGTTCAGCGACGGTATCAAATTTCAAAGGGTTTTAGGATTTGAATTTCAAAACAGCGGAAGTGCCGTTTTCGAGTAAATTTCATGACAAATTCAAATATGTATTCAGAAGTCTTATCCGATGACCAGGACAGTCGGTTTATCCGGTGTAATGTGGCTATATTTTGGTAGAAAACACAGACGGAATGGGCAGAACCTGATACAAAACATTCTATTTTTTAGTTAATTTTTTTTTAATAATATTTTACAGCCAATAATTATTATAAAATAATAAGTTTTTTACATTCAATTACATTCTTGACTCCTGTCTTCGCCTATTAATTTGTTTGCAAATCGTTATATTATCATTTATTGTTATTAGTCAATAGGTACTAAATAATATTTTATTGTGTGCCCATAATAGGGACAATATAATAATATTATTAAACACTAAACGGTAAAGCACAATATACTTAAAGAAAATACCATTTATTAGTATTTGGTTAAAGATATTCAAATTAAATTTTATATTTACCAATCTCAGTATCTTCCTATGTGATTCTGGTTGTTATCAATAATTAATAATTATATTTGAATGAATTTCTTGACATGTATCAGGCACTATATTTAAAAATACCATGTCTTAACTATAACTTAACTCGTATTCCACCAATTATAACTTTCGTGTAGATAAGAAAAGAGATTTAGACATAACATGTCTTAGGTACATGAACATGAATCAACAATAAATATGATGATAAGTACGAAGTACTTAGGCATGTTACGTCTGTCGCCTTTTCTGCATAATTAATAAATACTCGCCTACCTTTCGATTACGAAATATTAAAATTATAATTACGATTTCAAAATCTAATCCAATTTCATGTTAAAATTTTTAATTTGAAAAAAGAAATCATTGAATAATATCCAAAAAAAAAATATGTCGACGTTTAGTTTTGAGCGAACAAAATATAGTCTGTATAAACTAATATGACTTATAGACTATAGTAAAATTCACATTCAAATATTCAATATTGGAAAATGACTTATTTTATTTTTCACAAACGGTATGAATTTTACATGATTTCTTATAGAACTTCCTTCTCGCAAGCTCCCACGCATTAAATATATACATCTAGGTACTACTGTTCTAATATCTGAAAAAGCGTATACGAGTAAGCTTAGTATCGTGTGTGTGTGTGTGTGTGTGTGTGTGTGTGTGTGTGTAACAATAAAAACATCGATGTTCCAAAAAAATATACAAATTGTGTATAGGACATATAATTTGAATAGGATGGACGACGTTCCGGTCACAAGAGCGCGCCACCAATACATGATTTGACATGATTTGTCGTATACAAATCAAGAAGTATTTATTAAATATTTAAATGTAAATTTAATAAATAAAATAACAGTAACCTACTCAGTGACAGGTGTCAGGTAGGTACACTCGACACCTACTAATCAACTATACAGGCATACTGGAGATACAGCCCAACGATTTTCCCAGTTTTCATCGAGCAACTTATATTATATTCGTATAAGAATATGTTTATGGTATATTATACAGTCATTGTGGACTATGCCGATGAGATATCAGAACTTTTCTCGGTAGGCCCGGCTGCTGGTAACGGGCAGCAGGTTGTTATATATTATAATTTATAATTATTAATTAGAGGATATCTGCTTTGTGACATTAGAGACAAATATTGATGTCGAAGACATTATTAACATTGTTAAAAATAAAAGTGATTTATTTTAAATTACAAAAGAAACTTTATATTTTTTTGCAAATTTCACATTATATTTTGTCTTCATTAAGTGCAAAACATGAATTTAGTTTATTGTTTAGTAAGTACTAATATTTGAGAGCAACATATTCTATACAAACTAATGGGTAATCAATAATCATGGATTCAATTTGATTGATTCCATAAAAAAACACATCCAGTAAAATAGTTTTTCCTGGTGGAATTATTTTCATACCATTTTCACTGTGTACATAGGTACGATATTAATGTATGATGATTTATCATACACCTACCTAATTAAGTACGTAGGTAACAACAATAAAATATTAAATATTGTAAACTGGGTACCCACCTACTCGAACAGTATGCTAAATCATGCTGCACTGTTAGTGGTTTAATATGCTACGTGTTGCTATAATGCCATCTACAAAAATATAAGTACCTTGTACCTATCTACCAATATGGTAATATCTATTCAATATTCATTAAACCTATCAAATTGTTTTATACCTAGTTATACTTGCAATATTACATTACTATTATTTCTTAGTTATTAGGTACCCAATATGAATGTTTCAAGTCGTTTCAACTATGAGCTGCTTGAAATGTTTGTATCGATATAATATTATATCATTCAACATTAAGATATGTGAGTACCTACGTTTTTTCAGAACTCAAATTTCGAGAAAATTAAGTATTTATATGTTTTTTGATCATTACAAATAAGGTCTGTGTGGTTTTATGATCTACAGCTGCACGCTCGGTATAAATGTTATTTTTTTTTACCAAATGTAATTTGCGTTATCGTTTAATCAAATGGTCGGCTGATCTGTCTCTAGGTACTCATAACAGTTATAATGAAAAAACTACGAATATTGCAATTTATTCCGAATAATATGTCATCAGTTTCTCTGCGTTTTATGATGATTATCAATTATCACATACACTCACGTAGTGCACCCACATAAAAAAAAATTATTATGAAATCAAGACTCTACGCTGTGTTCATGTATATGTTACGGGCAAAGTGGAAAATTCGGGTAATGTATACAATGCCCGAGGTATATTGGGAAATGTAAATTGTGAAGTATTTATACAAATAATCTGCATAATATATTTTGTTAGATGATAATGATAAACTAATATGAATTTATAATCGACATCTGATTGTGCTTGCATGTCGTTCAAGTCAATTTGACAGCGAGAATTCATTTCAGAAGATATGATTGGTTTTACAACCAACCCTTTTTTAGCTGTACTTCCCTTCTTTTTACACGATTCGCAATTATTTAAGTATAACATTATTACATCTCTAGTTATATTTTTGTACTTTTTATTAATCTCGTGTTCCATTCTATTTCTACCTCCATGTCCAATTGACAAATGAACTTCATGTATAATATCATATAACTGAACATTATGCACATAATATTTTATTGCATTACCTTTAAATACATTTAAAATTTAATTAATTAAAAA